ACATAAACTTGGCCCATTTATCTTCTATTCCTGCTAACCATAAATTTGGCACTTGTCACATCTGAGAATTTTTTCAATACATTGTTCTACCCTCGCTATGTTATAATCAATTTTCAGTTTTGTTGGGATTGTAGGCATGTCGAACCTTGTTATATAAGTATTTGTTTGTATTAAATTATTCGAACATGATGGGTTACATTGCTATATATATATATATATATATATATATATATGTAACAAAGAATATTCTATCTATCCCAACCTGCTCATATCATCTATATATCTATCGTTTTATCTACCTATTTCATGTCGTTCATATCTATGTATCTATCTCAGTCTGATCATACTTATCTATCCATCCAACCCTCTCAGCCTGTTCATACCTATCTATCCTTCACAGCCTGTACATACCTTTACTATCCTTCTCATATCTATCCATCTCTCTCTCTTATATATATATATATATATATATATATATATATATATATATATATATATATATATATATGTGTGTGTGTGTGTGTGTGAGTGTGTGTGTTGTTAGAGAGAGAGAGAGTTTGTTTTATATATCTATATATATATATATATATATATATATATATATATATATATTCATCTTAGTCTGTTCCTAACTATTTATATCAGTCAATTTATATATATATCACAGTTTGTTCATATCTATATAGCTATCTCAGATATATATGGACGTATTTTCTATCTCAGTTTGTTCATACTTATCTATCTATCCATCCATCCATCCCTCTCAGCCGGTTCATATCTATCTATCCTTCTCAGCCTATATATATATATATATATATATATATATATATATGTGTGTGTGTGTGTGTGTGAGAGTTTGTTTTTATCTATCTCAGTCTGTTCCTATATATATATATATATATATATATATATATATATAGAGAGAGAGAGAGAGAGAGAGAGATAAATATATATTCATCTTAGTCTGTTCCTAAATATTTATATCAGTCAATTCATATATATCACAGTTTGTTTCTACCTATCACTCTGTCCATAACTATTTGTCTATTATCGTTTATATTTATGTCTGTCAATATCCTTTTTAAGTCTTCAGTATCCAATCAGAAATCGTCATCTGATCAGTTCGTAATTAAACTATTTTTCTGACATCGTTTTTGTTCGTGTCAAAGAAACCCACTGAAGACCTTTACGTGAGACGTTGCTTATAAAACGATGATGCACAAGTGATCATCTTACTGTTTGGGAAAGATTAACAATATAACGACATTGATTATTTCCCAAGCTTAATGCTATCGGAATCATTCTGGCAGTAATTGTCTGCGAGTCGTGTAACCACAACTTCATGGCGCGTCTCCCTTGAGATGAAAAACATTTATTGCCCAAACGAGACAAATGCTTTCAAATCAGCAAAGATTGTGTATCGTTACGTCGATGAAAACGAGTACAGTGAATAGACTGAATACTCAGTCTGTTCACCTCTCTATAGCAGGCTGTTCATATCTATCTTAGTCGGATTATTTCTATCTATCTATTCATACCTGTCTATCTAAGCGTAATCATATCTATCTATCCCAGTGGCTTCATATCTGAGTGCGTTCATATCTATCCATTTAAGCTTGTTCATACCTATCTATCTCTGTGTGTTAACATCTATCTATCTATCTCTGTGTGTTAACATCTATCTATCTATCTCTGTGTGTTAACATCTATCTATCTCTCTCTGTGTGTTAACATCTATCTATATCTATCTATCTCTGTGTGTTAACATCTATCTGTGTGTTAACATCTATCTATATTTATCTCTGTGTGTTCACATCTATCTATCTATCTCTGTGTGTTCACATCTATGTGTCTGTTCATATCTATCTATCTGTGTGTTCATATCTCTCTATCTCTATGTGTGTGTGTGTGTTTATATCTCTCTATCTATCTGTGTGTGTGTGTGTGTTGATATCTGTCTGTCTGTGTGTTCATATCTATCTCTCTATCTATCTGTGTGTGTGTTCATATCTATCTGTGTGTGTGTGTGTTCATATCTATCTATCTGTGTGTGTGTGTGTTCATATCTATCTGTCCGTGTTCATATCTCTCCATTTGTATTCATATCTATCTCATTGTGTTCATATCTCTCTCTGTTCATATCTATCCCAGCATGTTCATTTCTATCTATCTATCTATCATGGTAATTTACCCACGCACGCATGGTCTCTACTCGCTATAAATAGGAGCAGGTACTGTCTTTTTGGTGAGAAAAGTTTCCAGCAGTGAGCTCTGACAGTCAGACCAAACATTCTTGCTGTAACGCTCTCGTTTGTATATGTTTGTATTACTGTTTCTGTTCATATATTTGTTTAACTCAATTCCTCTCTTTGTATCTTTATTTCTGGCCCTAACAAGGCCACAACACTATCTTACTTTGTTCATATATATCTCAGTGTGTTTAAATCTATCTATATATCTCAGTTTGCTCATATCTATTTATCTATCTAGCTCTCTACATTTTGTGTATCTTTACCGTGACGAAAACGGGTACAGTGAATTGACTAATCAGTTATAAATTGTACATTATTTACACACGGAATATTGCTCTCACATTTGCTGTTTTTACCACAACGTTTCGGTCGTTGTGTTATCCGGATTTTATCAGGAAATTTTAAACTGAACCCTTTATTCAATTTACGGGGTTAGTCTGTTATCGTTCCACTGTCCATGTCTAGGGCTATCTCGTTTCTTTCTTTCTTTTTTTTATTCCTGCTTAGCTATTGTTTGTCTGTGTTTCCAATGAATTCATATACACTTCTCCCGACTCTGGCACTGAACTCGCAATTACTCTATCACGAGATTTACGAACCAACACTTTAATCCACAGGGCTACTGGTGCGCGTATTATCACCATACAACAACCAAGAGTCACTCAAGTTAGAGGGTTACAAAATAATGTTTTTTGTAGAGACGTGGAAGAGGAAGGTAAGAGCAGATTATGAGGATATTTATTATAATAGTTATCCCTAGGCGTGAAGAAATTTAGACTGCAGTGTTCATGAAAGTATCTTCTCGGGAGTATAAATGTGGAGAGAAGAAGTAATGACGCATCAGACCCCCCCCCAAAAAAAAAATTGGGTCTTGGAGAGCCCAACCATAAATTTACGCTTCATCATTGCACCAACAAGACGAAAACGGTAACAATGGCACAGTCCAGGCCCTATTCAGTATTGCTATTTCCTTTTGTTTCAAGTAGTGTACAATGTCGCCATCTTCATTATATTATTTCTCTTAGAGTTTCATGTGGGATCTATTTTACTTGTTGGGGCTATTAAAAGTCCCCAAATGATTTAGTTTCTGTTATTTGGTACAGTTTTTTCTTGTGATTTTGTAGCGCCAGCGTACAGGGTTAAAAAAAAAAGTATGGTATGGTTCTCTCTAAAGGCCTAACGGTTTCATTCGCCATCATTGAAGTTCTAAGCAAGACCGTAGTCAAATTGGGAGGCGATATCTTTCATAGAAAATATTACTAACAGTTACTTGTATCCCAACACGAACAGAGAATGACGTTTGTTCACTTATGCCGTAAAGCAGAAGAAAGCGTTATGAATGGGTGGAAAGCCATATTAACCAGAAAACGTATCTGGTGGTTTCACTCTCAGTCTATATTTCTGAGATGAGGTATTATGTACACTATTTACATTATTCGGATTATTGTCCTCATCTTTATTGCCATATTTATCACAACGTTTCGGCCGTTTTACGCTTCGGCCTTTTTCAGGTGGTTGGAATGTCGAAATGAACCCTTTATTTCGCTCGCTGGGGTAGACTATTCTAGTTTCACGTGCCATGTCTAATGTCTAATGGATGTCAGTTATCAGTTATCTCCTGTTAATTCACCTCTCTAAGTTCTCCACTGCCTTAACCAGGTATTGAACTCGCGATTCATTGGGTCCTGTCACTGGATCTAACCAACACCAAGCCATTTGTGTATGAATTTCTGGGACTTGTAAACTTAATGTCTTCAGCATCTTTTTTTTATCAGCGCTAATATTGCAATTTTTGCAGCTATCATTGCAATTTTTTTTTTTACTAGAGCTCATCTTGCAATTTTCGTTCGAAATAATGTAAATAATGGTTTCAGCCTGTCTGTGGAAAGCAGAAAAAACTTAACAACCGGTCAGTTGGCGATTAGGAACATCTAATAAAACCATAAAAACATTATTTTGTCCTAAAATGCCTGTTTGCTTTTTAGTACTAATCAAAAGGTTTTGACTTAGTTAGACCTCAACCCTTTCTCCCTATCCTCTTCGAGTTTAGAAAAAAACAAGTTCCTGTTGACGACATGTGCCAGTGTCGAAAGTACTCGGAATAAAATAAATATGCATGAACATGACAATTTTCTTTCTTCCTTTAATAACTATACTAAAAAAATCTTGTCCGTAATTACATGATCGTAATAAAAATAAGTAGACAAAAATTGTCAAAATTATTTAATGAGATATCTCCATATATATATATATAACCTTGTGCAAATTAATTGAAACGAAACGAATAATTCCTTTATTAATTACTTTTTTTTTCGTATTTTCCCAATGAAACATGACCCAGTGCACATGTTAATGCTTCGTATGTCCATTCCACGATGTCTTTTCTTGATAACTGACCACAGATTCTCAATTGGATTTAAATCAGGAGAGTTTCCGGGCCAGTCTATAGGACTTTGATTTCCTCACTGGTAAGGCTTGCCAGGGTGTTCGTGTAGCGTTACAATTTTCGTACGCTTCCTTGGAGTAACGTCCATCGCAAAGACAAATCTATGTTTACTTTGATTAAAGACACCTGACAATTATTTTTGACTAAAATATAAACCTGATCATCTGTGCCAATGTTTAATTTTTCACTGGTGTATAAACTGGAGTATTGTTTACTTTTGACTCAAGTAGAAACAAGAGATAAGAATCATAAGATCAGGTTTTAGCAATAAATGTCCAAACGAAGTTTGATATGTCGTTAAATCAACTAACCAATCCACATTTTCTTAACAGTCTTGAAAAATGCTCAGGGGACTTGCGTTGGAAATCTGTTCGAAAATGTATTGTTGTTTCGAATAAATAAAAGATAAACTGAAACAACAACAAAGCAGAAACGAGCGAAGGGAATGAGTTAACAAAGAAAAGAAAAGAAGAAAACAAACAAGAAGACGAATGAGGCAAATGAGAAACGGAAGCAGGAAATTGGCCAAGAGAATGAGGAAAAAAGAAAGGAAACGAGAGAATGGAATGAAAAAAGAAAACGAGCAAAGAGAATAAGGAAAAAGAAAAGAAATAAAGTAAGCGACGAAAGAGAAAATTAATAAAGAAAACGAACCAAGAGATTAAGGAAAAAAGCAAAGAAAATGAAGAAAACAGAAAAGAAACGTGCAAAGAGAATGAAGAGAAAATAAAAGAAACGGGTATAGAGAATAAGGAACAAAGAACAGTAATAAATGAAACGGCGAAAAAGAATGAGGAAAACAAAAAAAGAAGTAATAGAAAGGAAGAAAGAGAATGTGGAAAAAGAAAAGAGAAATGGTGTCTGAGAAAAGAAGAAGAAAAGTTAATCTTTAAAAAAATCGAATTACTGATCAGTAAAAAAAAACAAAAGGATTCCTGGTCAGCTATGTTGTGAGTGAGTGAGAGCGAGAGTCTTGTGATATGATGTTTACAGAGAGGACATCTGTACATGGTAACTGATCGGGGCTGTGCGGACAAAGTCCGATGACCATTGCAGGGTTGAAAGACGGTCGGGTTTTGGTTCCATGAATGAACAAAACAAACAAGAAAAAATTTAATATTCAGTAGACTCTACAATCGGATTTAATTCGGACTGAATACGATAGCTTACAATGTCTGATATATCTATCTATCTATATATATATATATATATATATATATAAACATTTCAAACTAACAACATCTGAAAGATGAAGATATTATTTTTAGCCACAGAACGTCATCCTATATATATATATATATATATATGGAAAGCGGAAATTGGACTCGACAATCCGAGTTCAAATTCATGTTGTTTACTTCTTTTGAACAAACACCCTTGTAAAAGTTAGGGACCAATATTACCCTATCAAAGGAGTAAATAGTATATCAGCATTAATTCTCTTGCTTTGGACGTTAAGTGGTTTAGGAGCAGAAAAAATCTGGATTCAATCATTGGGGGGAAGCTCTGATTAGAAAATCCGAGGAACAGTGTCAATTTCGAAGTTTTTGTATTAAATTTAATTTAATTTGTATCAAATCTAATATATTCTACCACATAAAAATCCAGCATTTGGCTAATCACGCATATGATTTGATATATTGGCGAAGTCATGTATAGAAATCGGATTCTCATTTGTGTGTTACCACTTCTACATAGTGAGAATCGAACCAGGGTCTCAGGGTCAGAAAGTGAACTTTCTAACCACTCGGCCACGTTCCCATATATATATGGCCGCTGTCGGGGTACCTCGAGGCAATGTAATGTTTAGCAAAGCAATTACGACTGAGTAGTGAGTTTGATTCTCACTGGGCGTCCCATAATTTCGGTCTTGTGCCACATCTAAGCTACGCCTGGAAAATTGCTATATGGTGGGTGTCGACTCACAAAGCGAGTATGACCATCACTTGACATGTCCAGCCCTTCACTTACACTCCCATCACAACACTGGCATAACACATCATCTCCGGGAGGTGGAGGGTGAATTTGATCATCATTTCCAATGTGCCCTTTCATATGATTTATCAGGTCCGACCTACACTTGCACAGCCTAGTGCAGGTCGGGCATTCAAAGGCTGCCATTACGAAATCGTCAGATACAATAGACTGTTGATGTTGGTGTGAGCGCTGTTGACTGAACAATCCCGCCTTGTGCAAACTTGTCTGATTGGGCACATGGCCAGGTTTTCACCACATGGCAATTCAGGGATCCCTTCCGAACCCCTCTCTTCAGTTTTGCATATTATGTGATGCCTTATGGAAGACCTTGACGCCATCAGCAATACCAGCTCTCCAACGTATATCTCAGCAGGAAGGCTGTAAACGTCAACAGCCCTACCCATGTTGAGTCCCTCCATACTACGCAGAACCTTGTCCAGCGGTGATTGGATGTCAAATTCTACCACGACGGGTTCTCGAGGCCTGTTCTGTAGCTCATGAAAGTGTTTCTTTCAACTTTTGGCCATGTCATCTATGTCTGTGTGGAGTTCATTGCCGTTTTTCTGTCCCGAGAAGAGCGATCTTGGTGGATCTGGGGCCAAATAATTGTTTCATCAAGCAGTACATCTGCTTGGTCTTATTTGAATTCGCTGCATTCTGTATTTCATATGCTTGCTCTGACCACCATTTTTTGCTGCATAGTTCGAAAAGCACGTTGAGCTTCTGTATTTGCAGCTTAAAACTCTTACTGTGTTGTTCTTTGGACCGGCAGTTTTACAACACACAATTATCTTTCTTGCAATGATCTCTTTGATAGCATCTTCATTTTCATCAAACCAGTCTTGATGTTTTGCTGGCATTTTACCCAGAACATCGTCAGACGCTTCATATATATTCTTCTTCAAGGAGTCTCATGAAGACGTACTATTGACTTCAGCATGTCTTTGTTATAGTGACTCCTGCGTTTCCAAGGAGTGCAGTTTTGCGACAATCAGACTTGCAGGAGGATTTCCATTGTTTTGTCTAGCTGCTGGTTTAAGAACAAAGTTACTCTTAGCCCTCACTAGGGCATGATCAGTCCGACCATCCGCACCACAAATAGATCTAACAATATAGATATCTTGTATATCTTTCTTGCGGACGATGACATAATGAATGAGATGCCACCGGCGTGAACGGGGATGTATCCAGGTGGTAACATGATCACCCCTGTGCTTGATTTGAGTGCTGGAGATAAGATTAAACTCAGTGCAAAGTTCGAGAAACATTGGTGTTGATTTTCCTGGCGCCATATTTCCCAAAACTACTCCAGGTCTTCCAATCTGCACCAACTCGGGCGTTGAAGTCGCCGATGAGGGCAATCTTGGAATCCTGTATAGTATGCCTCTCTAGAACACATAGAACTAATCCTTTAAAATATCGGTACAGTAGGAAGAGAGTACAACCGATCAGTCGCTCAGAAAGTACTGGGTCGACTGACATGTTTACAATGACTATGACACTAACTGCGGTCAGTTTTGATGAATAAGGTACGCTAATTCTTAAATAATGGGGTAAGTAAAACTGTGGAGTGTCATGATAGATCACATCCTGAAAAGTCATAGCTCTCTACAGCTTCGCTTCTTTAATATCTGTGAATTACCATGACTTCGTGGATATGCGAGTGATGTAATTGGTTGCTGCTCGTCCAAGAAATCGGCGAGACGTGTTTGAATTTCAAAATTAAAAAAAAAAAAAAAAAAGAAAGAAGTCAAACGGGTTTTGATTATTTGCGTTCTGTGTTAGGGTATTTTTGTTCAGACACTGTAAAAATGTTGGGCGTAGGTCCTTGGAAGCTTAATCTGTAATCTTTGTTTGGTTCTTGTATTTTCGATAATCTCAAGAAAGTCTTCTGCAAGAACTGACTTTAATCGTTTCTGGTAAAATCGTGTCTTTCCGTTTCCAAAGACGTTTTCTTGTTTTCTTTTTCTTCCCCACCATTTTTTTTTCCTCTTTCGGTGTCGTTCATTCGTTATTCTATCCCCCCCTCTTTATTCCTTGCTTATCTTCCTTCATTCACGTTCTTCTCTTTTCCTTCTTTTAATTTTCTTATTCTTTACTATTTCTCTATTTAGTTTCTTTTCAAGATTATATCACATAATCCTCCCTAAACCTTTAAAGCTTCATGGTCTTTCATTATTTTCGCTTCCATCTTTATATATATATAGATATATTTGGTTGGATAGATGTGAGTTTGTGACCCTGGGTTTCACGCTTTAGCGATCGTCAGACAAACTGATTAATTTTTTTAAAAAATGTGGGTTTATGTAGATATAAACATATGTGGGCAGTTTCGGATATGACATATGTATGTATACGGGTACTGTACTGTACTGATGCGGCATTCACCCTGGGCGGATTGAGCCGGCTTCTTCCTGTCACGAGAAGAAGATTCTTGGGATAAATTAAAAAGGTAAGGGTACCCAGGCCTACTCGGAAAACGTTCTTGCTTGCCGCGGGGTTCCCACAGACGCAGAGACAGGAACGACCAGAAGCCGCCGGTTACCGATGCAGACGCTCCTTGGATTTTCACCAGAGCCCTTGTTAGCCGGCGTGTGTGTCAGACCTGTCCGCCTTGGGTGGCCCTACCACGAACAAAGTTCCGGGCGGCATAGCTCTGACACTACCGTTTACACCCCCACCGAATGTGAGGTAAGGGTTGGACTTTGGGGGCTTACAGTACTAGGTGTTCCCAAGCAGTCCCCCATCTAAGTACTGATCTGGCTCAGTATGTATACGGGTGGTGTTATGTTTATGTATGAGTTCCGACGGACGACCAAGTATGTATATGTGTCTGCATACATCGATGTTTGCGTTAGTACGATGACATAAGCGACGAAGTTTCACCCACCACTGCCACAATAACACCAATACACGCAATCTACATAAACCCAAATTTAAAAAAAAAAATTAATCAGTTTTTCTGACGATCGCTAAAGCGTGAAACCCAGGGTCACAAACTCACATCAATCCAAACAAATATGTTAGCTCTATCTCTGATATTGAGCGCTTTCTAATAAATACCGTGCATATAACATATAAATAATTATACATATGTATATTTATTTATATACACTTTTCACACACACATATATATACACATATATATATATATATATATATATACGTGTATTTCGGTAGCAATAATTCTGTCAAACATGTTTGTTTGAATAATATCGGCAAGTACTGTTTATCATTTTTTTATTAAATTGTTCACATTTTCGAATTAGTTGTTTTATGATATCAGTAAATTTGTCAAAGTTCATTTAAAAATAAATATGAATTTTGATAAATTTAATGACAAATTAAAACTGCTAATTCGGAAATTTGAACAATTTAATAAAAAATTGTTAGACAGAAATTGTCGATATTATTCAACTGAATATGTTTGAATGAATATATATATATATATATATATATATATATATATATATATATATATATAAATAATCACTTTCTTTTCTCGCACTTCCTGCGTGTGGAACTCACTTCCGGATCCATGCTCTCCATCAAATTATAATCTGCAATGTCAATCGCTATCTACTGTCTTCATGATTACTCTTCATTGATTCTAACTATTTAGTTATTTTTCTGTTTCAACTCTTCCCCACCAGTAACTTCTGGAGCCTCAGTGGCTTTACTGCTTTCCATGGAGTGAACTCGAATAATATATATATATATATATATATATATATATAAAACATGTGCTTAAGTGCTGCATCAGACTCAGATAGATAGAGATGTTGGGGAGTTTTGACCACGGTGTAAAATCTCTCTCTCTCTCTCTCCTCCATATATATATATATATATATATATATATATATATATATATATATATATCTCTCCTTCATCAAAAGAATACGCTGGTGAATATCAAATTGACGGAATAACAATTTGCAGCGCAAGAAAAGAAAATATAAGGAGGGGGCAAAAACGGACCATAACGAAAATAAAGAAAAGCAATATTAATAAAAACGAGGGGGAAGAAAAAATA